ACACTACACACACACACACACACACACACACACACACACACACACATATATATATATATATATATATATATATATATATATATATATATATATATATATATGCATAGTATATGGTTGTTTACACACAAAAATATATCTATACATATTAACATCTGTGCCAGTTGGACCTAGTCTTTGTATGTTATACCCTGCCTGAGACTAGATGGCCCTACCACCAGGTCGTCCCACATGGACCACCACACCAAAACCAAAAGGCAGACTGAGTGGTCACAGTCTGAACGCATCTCCCGAATATGATTCATTTCTGTATACATTTCGAGTTCACATGCATGCCACATAGCTCGTAAACGTCAACTCGTCTGAGAAATTGTGCGCATATGTCATGGTGTGTTTAAGTAATGTTCTGGGCTGTCCATTACCAAGGGTGTCCCTATGGTTGATGGTCTATGTACTGAGCACTGGCCCTGTCTCAATTGGGTTATTTGGAGTTCACGTGCAAAGCATATTCCACATTTATGACACTGACCTGATTGGCACTCCGACCGGACTAACCAAATGGGAATTTTGAGTCCCAAATCATTGAGTTGACCGAGAATGAAGATATATGTTTCCGTTCGTATGTGCACTTTTAGATTGTTGTGTATACATCTGTGAGCAGTATGATCACAAATCGCGTGTGTAGTATAGTTTATGCTTAATAATCTACTCATCACATACCGTGTGGCTGTGTTCTATTTATAGACCACCATCCCGGATATGGTTTGCCGTGCTCATTTTCAACCACCACAAGAGCCCCCCGACTGAACAAAATGCCAACTTTCATATCATTGCTATTCCCACATGATCCGAAATTATCACGAAACACGCACTTACATTCTATTTATAGACGCTTTGCTCATCACACTCCACGTGTCCCGTATTTTATTTATAGGCCACCATCACAGATAGGCTATGGCGAGTCTACTTCCAACCGCAACAACAGGCCCATACGGAGGCAGACGTCAACTTCCAATTTAGTGCCATCCCCTGTGCAACGGGAACGGCCGAGGATGTGCCTGTGGCTATCCACAGCACTGTTCTACCTGGTGAGTAGTCCTCATATGAGTGTGTGT